TCTTCCACATTCTCACATGTAGTTTCAAGTGGTAATCTACAAATATCTAAAGCTCAGAACCCAAACTTTAGAGTCCAATTGGAGTTAGCTTAGTTTATTATGCATGAACAAATAAACAAATTTTTCAACATATGGTTTGAATAACATTGTTGAAATGCTCATATTTTAGGTGTAAATTGTCAGAAAGACCAGAAGTGACCACACATAAATTGTATGTCTCAACATCAGCAATGATCTGTGCCTCTTTAAATATGTCCTTCCCATTCAAAGGTGCTTCAGCAGCCCCGCCTACAAGGGGTGGGAAAATCTGCCTCTTCTATTTCCATCTCACTCTGCTAAGTAAGGACCCAGACTGCACTGTGGCAGAAGCAGTTACACAAAGTAAAACTTGTGCTGTCATGAGCAGCCAGTTTTCCTTAAATTTAAGTTCAGGAATTTAAACACAGAGATGTTTGAAGATGGATTTATTTGCCGTTAATGTTGTTACGTTTCGGTGTTGTCAGTGTTTTGTTTTTGCGTGACTGTCATGTGTTTCCTGTTTTACTTTGAAGGTCTGTTGTTATCTTAGTGTGTTCAGTTTACGTTTCCTTGTCTCGTCAGGTCTAATTTGCCCCAGCTGTGTTTCCCTCCTGTGGTCCATTCCCTGATTGCTCCTTCTATGTATTTAAGCCCTGTGTGTCAGTTGGTCATGGTCGCGATCTCCCCCGTGTTGTAAATAGTTTGGTGTTTTGTTGTAAATAGCTGTGAATGGGTTTGTTAATATTTTCGTTTGAGACACCTTCGTTTTGGGTTGTTGTTGTTGTGTTGACAGAGTGACTATTTGGCTGCTCAGTTAATAGTAAGTTATATATGATGATAAGATCATTAGAGCAAAAATGTTGTTCAACACAAAACAGACAGCCCCCTATGAGCAAACGGTTTGCTTTGCTTTCATTACATGTTTGATGTCCTGTTTATCAAAGTTGGATTTTAGGGGTGGATTTTTACATTTCCTGTGTGTACTTCAGGTGTCTGGTAGAGGCAAAGTGAGTGAAGAGATGATAGCAGCTGTGGAGTTCACAAACCCCTTCAGCTTCAACCTGGAGAACGTCTACATTCGCATGGAAGGACCTGGGATGATGGAGCCAAAGTCCAGGTATTACAGGTGAGTGATGATGAACAACTGTTTGTATAAAATATTTCCACATAAAACCAAAACAGGTTTCAGTTTCACCTCATTCCATTGGATCTTTCCAGATTAACGATTTTATAACCTCTAAATAGTAGCAAAAGGAAAAAAACCCACCTATTTCAAAGGCTTCTGCTTTTTGCTTTAATATTTTTGACGTGTTTGTCTTTTCTCAGGTTGGTCATAGGAGGCTCT